AAAACCCATGTGCAAGTGGACCTGCACAGTTCAAACCCATGTTGTTCAAGGGTCAATTGTACTTGAAATTGCATTTTTAGTATAAAAGCATCTGAGACCTATAAAAGGCTAATGTAAGATACATGGAGCCTCAGCAAGGATCTCAGTACCTTCTTTCTCTGGTCTTGTCCAGCACCTCCTCACTGGGTTCTTCCCTGCACTTGGGGTTATGGTGGGGGATTGGGCAAATGCAATGCTGGGGCAGGTGCTCCATTGTGTCATCTCCAGGCAGTCCTCGGCAGGTGCTAGATGTCACACTGTAGTGAGAAATGGATGGCACAAAAATGGTGGAAAAAGAAAGGAGGGGAGCTGATTGGGACAGCGACACTGATGCACTTTCCCACCTCCTCATCTTTATTTAAATGCCATCTTCTCAGTGGGTCTTCTCAAACCTTTTTAGAATTGCAGCTCATTTTCCAACTCTCTCCATGGTCTTTGCTTCGTTTTTCTCCTATAGCTCCTATCATCACCTAACGTACTATATTTGTTATAGATTTTATTTTGTTGTCTTTTTCTTCCCATCGGAGTAAAGGCTTCTTGAGGGTGGGGACTTTTCACATCTGGAACAGTATATGGTACGTCCAGGTGCTCAGTATTTGCGGAATGAATCAATGGGTATCTCATTCTCTGCTTGGCTCTTTTCCCACTCCCAGAGAGTTGTAAAATTAAGAAAGGAAGAATACAGACAAAATATAATGGGAAAAAAGTCTGTTCCCTAGTCCTGAAGAAAATAAGACTGAAGAGAAAAATATTCAGCAAGATAGACACTGTTTACACTGAGTTGTGGTGTCGCGCCCCCACCCCCCCCCCCCAAGCAAACTCAGGTATGATCTTGTATGTACTGGGATATTTATGGGAATGAGAGGACAGACTTTTGGAATGGTGATTATTCCTAGAAAATATGAGATGCATCATTAATTATGACTATTTAAACTATTTTAACTATAAAGGTTGTTAAGAGCCCTCATAGAAGCCTAGTCTTAGACCCAAGTAGTTTAGTTTTCTTTCTGGCAGCAAGACCCAGAAACTTGGCCTGCTTTCCTCTCTGACACTTACCTGTACTTTTCTGAGGTTCTTCCTCCCCTCCCCCCAAACAGGGAAGCCAGAACTAGTGAGTGATTAAGTTGAATTTAAGCCCAGGTCTCTTTGATTTCTTTCCATAGTACTGTGGGAAAAAGCTAAGGAAGGAGACAGAATGTGGGATAGAAAGAGAACCGTGGCTGGAAAGGAAGAAGGAAAAGGAGAAATGGGAGACAACGAGGAAAAGCCTGCAGTCCTTGGATACTTAGGTAGTCCATGACTAGGCCCTAAAATTCTGTACAATTTTTTGTGCTTCTCCTGCCCTCCCTGCCCCCCCAGCTAGATGATTAGTAGTTCAATAGATTTTTCAGAGATCTGTGATAGCAAAAAGATTTTGAAACAACCACTGAACCATGTAGTTTGTAGTATTTTTAATGAAGCTATTTTAAATGGATTTTTTTCTTTTTCTTTCTTTCTTTTTTTTTTTTTTTAAGATTTGTTCATTTATTTTAGAGAGATATTGAGCAGGAGGAGCAGAGGGAGAAGAGAGAATTTCAAGCAGACTCTGTGCTAAGCAAAGAGCTTGAGGCTGGGCTCCATCCCAGGACTCCGAGATCATGACCTAGCTCACTGCACCAACCAAGTGCCCCTTAAATGGATTTTTTCCCCCTTAAAATAAGGAAAGGGATGATAGAGTTCTCCCTGGGCCAAATAGCTTATAAAAGCCTGGTTATAGGCAAAAGGGTGAAATAGGTTAATTTTCTCAGCTGTTTCTGTGAAAGCAGAAGTCATGGGTATTCAGTTTCTATCGCTAGAAATATTTGTGAGACATTGAAGCCCAGTAGATTTACAGGATAGAGTAATTCACAGTGTTTTGTAGAATTTGACAAAGTATGGTTTGCTTGTATAAATTTCCGAGTTGCCTGCAAAATGCCTTGGGGATTTGGGACATGCGCTTTGACACATGGTGTGGGAAAGGATGAAAACACAATGGTCCTGGAGAATCTGGGGGTATGGTCTAGCATCCACGACCTTATTTGAGGGTCTAGGGCAGGTATGAGCAAACACCTGGGATTGGAACTGCTGTAGACCCAATCTAAGATGCCTCCTGTTTTTATAATTAGGACACAACCATGCTTATATGTTTCCATATCATTTATACTTGCTTTCAGCTACAAGGACAGAGTTGTATAGTTTTTACAGGGATCATATGTCCTGGAAAGCCTACAACATTTGCTATGTGGGCTTTTACAGAGCAAGTTTGCCAGTCTTGGCCTAGGGTCTAAGTGGATGAGGGAAACAGGAAAAGGCCTGTACTGATCACGTGTATACCTTCCTTTTAAATCTGTATCTGTAAGGGCATCTGTCTCAGTCATTAAGCATCTATCTGCCTTTCAGCATCTTGGGATTGAGCCCTGCATCGGGTTCCCTGCTCAGCGGGAAGCCTGCTTCTCCCTCTCCCACTTCCCCTGCTTGTGTTCCCTCTCTTGGTCTGTCTCTCTCTGTCAAATAAATAAAATCTTAAAAAAAAAATGTATCTGTAGTATGTCCATCTATTAACAATCTGTGGGTTCCATGCTGGCCCTAATTTATAGACACAGAAGTAATTTCTCTGTGCACACACTTTGATTTTATGTGTACACACATTTGAATAATGTGTGTATATGTGTTATTTAACCAAAGTTTAATTTTGGCCCATGTCCCATAATACGTTTCCACTTGAAACTTTCAAATTAAATTTAAGCATTTTTTTTTCAGAGAACATTTTTGTACTTTCAAAACTATTGTGGTAGAACAGCTCCAATTAGGCAACTCCCTGGGAAAAGATAATTTGTCGGGCAGCAATGGAAGAATCTGAAAATTTTCTTTACTGTTGTGTTTTGAACTATTACTTAATCATTGTCAGCTATGATTATTCTCACAAATGCCCAATGACAATTTTCATTCAAATGGTGCCATATATTTGAGTAGTGCTTTATCAAATATTTTCATGTGTATATTATTTCAAACAACTCTGTGATGTAGGCAGGGTAGAAATATTACCAAGCATCGCATTTCCTATTGTTTTCAAGTGTGAAATTGAGGCCTAGGGGGACTCCGGTGATTCCTTCCTGCTTACACGGGGAATTAGTGACAGCACCCGGGCTAGGATCCTATAAAATTGTTAGTAACTGGAATTACTCTTTGCTTTAGTATTTGTATGTTAACATACACAAAAATCAGAATGAAGAATATTAATTTCTACTCATCCATGAAATGAGGATAGAATCTTGTAGCCCAGCTGTCAGGATTAGAGAACATGTATGAGCTTGCTCAGGACAGTGCCAGGAGTGGAATAAACACTTAGCAAATTATGGCTATTATACTTTTCCCAGGGTTATGGGATTGTTTTGATTCTCTTAATTAGAATATACCATTTGTTAAACTGTACCATTCTTTTCTTTTGCAAAAAAAGTACAAAAACTATTATCTGTCTATGGTTGCAGTTTTATTCCCCAAGGGAACTAACAATATTGGAACAATTAAACACAATACAATGTATCAAACTCAAATAAAATGCAGCTTTGGAGTTCATGTTTCAGGTTTTTTTTTTATTGTAGTGGTATCATTTACTTTGGTAAATTCATATCCCGATTTAAAATGCCCCAAAACAAATAATTTTTTTAAATAAATTCAAGTACTGTATTTTAAAATGTACATGTTATACACACAAGAGCTGCATAGCGGAATTACTATAACAAGCAATTACATTCATGATGCCCAGTATTGTTCTGAACACTGCATGTAGATTATACTAGATATTGTTTTATTATGATTACTGTTGCTTAGTACAGTAACTTTAGTACAATAGTTTATATGATTGCATTTTTCAAAGCATTAATGAAGTTAGTAGTAGCATAGCATTTAACTAATATTGAATGAAAACACTGTATAAGATGTATTTTAGGACAGATGCTTACACAAGAATAAGCATTTAACATGCTATTGTATCCTTGACAAAACAAAATCATCCCTTTTGCTAAATAGAATAAGAGAGGCTGAAAGGAACCGAAAGGTAATTGAAAAAGAAAATTTTAAAATTGTATATCCCTGTATTATGTTAAAGATGATTTAACATCATTTTCTCCTGGTTAAAATATATATTTTGTTCTGAGTGAAATGAGAGTGAGAGAGATTGCAAAGACTGGTAAGGAAAATGCTAACTGAGATGTAGCCCTTTGATGATACTTTAGCTGGGAAAAAGTATGGTAAGTTGTACTCAACATTTTTTTTTTTTTTTCGCTTAGAAAAAAAGTGATAGCCTATAAATTTCTAATGTTTTAAAACAGGTATTTATTATTTAAGGTCTTAAAATAAATAAATATGCCTGTATTAAACAAATTAAGTTGTTTAAAAAACTTTGCAACAATACTTGGCTTATTCACAAATAGATTTTCTGTCCGTATTTATTACAGTTTGAACAATTTAAAAATGAAATCCTGCAAATACTCATCACTTACATAACAATATTGTTCTCTTAACTCACATAAATGATTGCAAGAAATATTTATAATACTTTTACCTAGTATCTTACCTAATGCTCACATTGAATATTCAAATTAGTCACATTTAATTTTACAGAAGGAAAAGTTGGGATGGTGAGATTAGAGAACTCTATTCTAGTAATGGTAGCAACAAGATTTTCATCTTTTGTTTGTGCCACTGGCCTTCTGATTTTTTGTTGGGGAGGACACAACCTTAAAGTTCCTTGAATAAAGTAACTCTTTGGAAATCAGATCATATTACAAAAAGCTTTTGGATGAAGATTAATTTAAATTTATTTATCATCAGATTAGCCAGGGGTGTGTTCTATAGTTTGTTTGGAAGTGCTTGTGGAAAGTAGCTCTGATATTTTTCTAAGTATGCAAATGATTGTCTCAAAAAAAAAAATTTTTTTTTTTTTTAATATGTGACTAGTGAGTCCTCTTTAAATGTTTGTTTACAATTGCTTTCTTTTTTAAGTAGAAAAATCTTTTTAGCTATAACCAGTCATGGAATAATGATGAATAAGTCAGTATGATTCTTAATATAATATAATCATACCTAAACAGATTGTTCCTTTTCCTTAGAATACTCAGTCACTGAGTGAAATTTCAAAGACTTTTAACCAAGCCACCTTAATGTTTATAGTCTCTGATAAAATTTCAAGAGGAAAAGAACACTATTTGGAGTAAACAAAATAGAAACCATACTGAATTTCTGATTTTATTTTGAAGCTCCTCCTCTTCAAAGAATGCATCCATAATTAGATTCAGAGAAATTGTGTCCCTTCCTGTTTGTTTTCTGAAGAGAATCACATATTAATCATTGCATACATACTTAATAACTTACATTTTGGGACAGAAGGCAGTCAGCATGGGCCACCATGGTCCACCCTAATGTCATTTTCAAATCCAGTCAAGTACTGTCGGATTAATTAGCTGCTGATGGAGGTTTGATAGAGGGGATACTGCATGATCTTCTCATGATAAGCCTGACTTCTATATCTGGTAGATTATCCTGCTTAGTCTGTAAACACCCATCATCAGTGGCTGCTAAATGAAGATCAAATCGAAGAGAAACCGATTTTTTCCTTAATCGAGGGTTATCTTTAAAGAAGGAGCCTTCCCATTCTTTAATAACTTCATCCACTTTCTCTGTCCTGAAATGATACAATAAACCTTTCCATATGAAGAAGTATGGATCTATTAAAAATATGTAATATGGATTCCATATGAAAAAGAAATCAAGAAATTTATGTAATTCATAATTGACACATTTTGAATTATAACTCACAATTTACATTGTGGAGTTTATAATTTACACACTTTTAAAATCACATAGGTATAATTTCCAAGGAATTCTATGGAATTTTCATGTTTTGATTATATTTTTGGAAAAATGGTGAATTAAGGATTGAGTACTCCTATATCTGAGTTTTGTTTAAATATATTTACTCATGTCAGATTTTAAAAAATAGCATATTAAAATTATGTTTGAAAACACGCAAAGATTACTGAAGTTTGCATGTGCTTATTAGTCAAAGTTATTTTACTTACTGAATAGTGCCACGAGCCTCAGTGCTCTCCTTCACAATATTTCCATTTAGTATTGCCTGTTTGGTCACTGTTTCCACTTTTTCGTTCTCATACTTTTGTGGGAGTTTCGTTGAAAAAGATATTTCATTTATAATGGCTGTGAAAGTGTTATCGTGAAATGTTAAACCACAGTGTTGTAGTACTAGTCACAGTTGATTCATATGTCAAACTTCATTCAAATATTGCTTGTTTTTGCTACTTTATAGTATTTAGTTATAATCCTTATAAATGGCACTTTATTTTTTAAGTTTGTTTACTTATATCAGAAACTCACCTGAAGGTAAAACAAAACCAACTCTACTTGTCGAAGGTTTTTGTTCTTTTTTCTCACCTTGGATACAACCATAATATCTGAAATTGGAAAGAATTATATTATCGAAGCAACACTGTGTTAGCATATAATTGAAACAAATGCTCACCAGTAAGAGGATGGATAAAATGTAGTGTATTCATACAATGGAAATTCTATTTAACAATGAAAATAAATGAACTAAGGGTACACTGTTTCTTTATGGATGAATCTTCTAGTATAACACTGAGTGGGAAAAGAAAGGTAATTTGTAGCTAATTTTATAAAGGTTAAAATAATAGGCAAAACAATTTCATATTTTGTTCAGGGATATATATACATATTAGTAGAAAGGAATATTTAAGGCTAATAAGCATCAGATTCAGGAGCCAGGTTAGACTAAGAAAGAGAATGGGGGTTTGGGATAGGGTTAGGTGCCTGGAGTGGGGGTGGGGAGACTTCAACAATACCACAAATATTTTCACTTCTCAAGCTGGGGGAAGTGTGTACATGAACTTCATGATATTCTTGATATTTTCTTGTGTATCTTAAATATAGCATAGTGACCATTTTAAAAATTGTATTAAAGGAATATTAAAGACCACTTTTTCAACATCTTCAATGATTAGGCATTAAATAAAATCCACAACCACTTATTTAACAACAAATTATATGTGTGTGTATATTAACATACCACCGTTTTAAGCACTTTACAAACAATCTATTCAATGCTCACAGGAATCCTATGAGGTGGGTAGTATCATTCCCATTTTATGGATGAAAAAACTGAGGCACAGAGAGGTTTGGTAACTTGCCTGGTGTCACTCAGCTAGTAAGTGGTAGATTTTGAATTCAATCCATGTTTTTCAAAGCTTTAGTAAATGTCAAAACTTATTATAGGTTAAATAAGTTTCATCTAATTTTGTAGAAGACTCAGAATTCTGGAGCAAGCAAGAATAAAGGTTTCTTTCTATAGGAACATGGAAAATTGGAGGGTGTCCTGTGCTCAAAGCCATGTGACCTTTTAAGTGATTGCCGATTATGAAACTGAATTAGTAAGAATTCCTCTTTTGTGATATTTTGATACTTTTGTTATCAAGAAATCTGGAAGTCTTTTAAATCATGTATTCAGAACTAATTATTATTAATTTTGGCTTTTGATCTGTGGTGGGAGTGGGCCCTGGGTGGGGGGAATGTGGTAATATGTGCATTTTCCAAGCTTTCTTTGTGGGTGGTCCATAGAAGACACTAATTCTAAAAGAGATGTATGACAAGGAAAATGAGCAAGTCCAGAAAGGTCATTCTTGTAGTGATTGAGAATTATTTACATTTTGCTTATAGGCATGAAGGGCTCTTTGTTGTAGCTACTGTCCCTGACTTTGGACATTCTGTTCATAATTTTGGGAGGCAGGAACTAGTTCTTCCACATATTCTCTACAATGCCTACTAATCCTATTTTGCTGTAGGAACCCAGGGAGCATGCCATGCTGATGATGGCTTTTTAGACGTAATTTCTCTACCTCAACAAAGACAGAAGTTCTGTATTTCTGGTCACTTGCCGCTAACGACTGTATATGGAATTAGGTACCTGATTTCTTCCTTTTCTAGGAGGCGGCGATAAGTGGCGATTTCTTGTTCTAGCCTCATCTTCGTGTTGAGAAGCATCTCGTGCTCTTGAAGCTGCTTTTCAATGCCCCGCCTTACTTCCTGCAGCTCTTTTTCTAGTCCTTCAATCACAGCCTCTAGATCTTGCAGCTGCATCTGGTAATGTTGCTCACTGGCGTGTAGGGAGTTTTCAAGGCCCCTTTCCTGTTTTATATAGACCTTCATCAGTGAAATCAGTGAAACAAAATGTGCTGCTGAGATCTGATTTACAATGTCTCCATTCTATCGTGTTCTTCCAAAGTTTGCCATAATGGTATGTCACTTAGGCAGAAGATGCTTCCTTACAACTGTGTGGAGGACTCAAATGAAAAAAAAATTATATCTAGATAGCTAGAGAGCTTACTATTTCAAAGGAATCCCGTGATAATTCTTACGGCCAAAAAAAAAAAAAATCTGCAGTGTGACTGACTTATTATCACTCTAATTTATTTGGCTTTTTAAAAATTGGAAATATAGAATATTGAATGTTAAAGCAGAGCAGGCTGCTTAGAAAAGGCATTTTAGGAAGGTATTTAAATATTTTTTACTATTAGAAATTTTAGGCTTGGAGATAGAAGACTCCCTCCCCGCCCCCCCACCTCCTCCCCCACAAAGGCTATATTCTCCCACTGCAGCAATTAGAGAACCCTAGGATGATAAGAAAGGATTACTTCCTTTTTATAGCCATGAACTAGACCTTGAATGAATTGAGAATAGCCATGGCCATGATGGGGGAGGTTAGTTGAACTAGGACCAGGGATAGAATTCTGTGGCCTTGCTTTTCAAGTTTCTTGCTGTAAGGTAATGGGCATTATTCCTTTCTCTCTTTCTCTCTTAATCAACAAATGTCTGGGGACTCAGTGGGCCAGTCTCTTTTGAGCTCATTCTCACCACTGCCTGGAGAGACTCAATTTCCACTTGCAGGTGGTGCCACTGGCGTCGCGCTTCCTTGAGTTCTGCTCGAGCTGCCTTTAAAGCCTCTTCATCTTTGTCCATTTTTTTGCTCATATCTTCTTCTAGCTTTAAGAAAGCCACCAGCCACAAGAATAACAGAAACAAAGAGCGCTCTTGAAAATGAGACCTTTAAAAGTCATCCTAGAAACACAGCATAGGCGTCTCATCAGTTTTTCTTTAAACTGTTAAATTTCAAACGTGCGTCCCAGGGCTTAGTTACTCATTAGTCAGATGTGGGAGCAAGTGAATTGCTTCAGTGTTCTGAAACATAAAATGAACCTCAGGCATTTCTTCCTAATATGACAATCTATGAAATGCAGAGAAAAATACTTCTATTAAATGAAAAGTAACATTTTAGAGGATCTAAGTTTGAGGCCTCTGATTCTTAACTTTCTATTATTTATGGCCTTATGAGGAAGATGGATTGAAACTTAGCTATTATTTCTCCCTGTATTTTCTTGTAGGCTGCTTTGTAAAAGCAGATAAAGTTATGTATCTGAAACCGATCAATTCTGGAACTGGGCATATGGACAGAGATTAAATACTGCTGGGAAGTTATATTATGAATAATTTAGAGAATTAGGTTATCATAGGCATTAGAGGCTCTAAAATGACTTCCGTAGAAGGAGAACCCACAGTCGATTTACCTTATTTAAATGATCTTTTTGGAAAGCATGTTAATCTTGGGTATCTGGGGAAGTAGCCAAAATTACATCTTTAAAAACTGTTTTCTAAATGTCATCATATTAAATAACAAGTGGAATATGTTATATTTGGCTTTGAATGTTCTTATGCTGATGTTCAAATCAAATGAAAGTATCCTTTGACAGAATTCTCAACATTTGGTCCCAAGAGCAGCAGGGGCAATGTATGGAATTGATTGTAGTATTTTGTAGCAAAAATTACAACTTATTAATGCTTTTATTAAAATGCATTTTGAAATAACAAATTTTAATTTGATGGTAAGTTTTTTTTTTTTTTTTTTAAAGCACTGTTGGGGCGCCTGGGTGGCTCAGTGGGTTAAGCCTCTGCCTTCAGCTCAGGTCATGATCCCAGGGTCCTGGGATCGAGCAGGCATGGAGCTCTCTGCTCAGCAGGGAGCCTGCTCCCCACATCCCTGCCTACTTGCGATCTCTGTCTGTCAAATAAATAAATAAAATCTTAAAAAAAAAAAAAAAAGAAAGCACTGCAGTAAATGAAAGTTCACAAATAAAGTTTAGGGCAAGGCATTAAAGAACAAAATTCATACATCTCTTTTGGTTTGTTGTATCACTTCTTCTTAGTGTTAAGTTGGCAAAGTTAAGCAGTAACACTTGGCAGAACAACTACAAAAGAGAATGTCAAGAATGTAGGAAATAGGAGAGCATAAGAATGCTTGTATCTGCTGGTCTTTTGGATTTTGTGTATGGAACCAGTAGCTATGTTTATGTGGTAGCTAGATGCTGAAGATGGTCCCCAATGACCCACACCTCCCCAAATTCATGTCCTTGTGTGGTTCCCTTCCTTACCAAATCTGGGTGGCCCTTCTGTCTTGCTTTAGCCAGCAGAATGTGGCAGAAGCATCAGCTATAGCCCTAAACCTCAGGAAGCCCTGACAGCTTGCACTCCTGTGCTTTTGGGGAGCCTTGGGCCAACATGTTAAGAAGTTTGGATACCCGGCTGGAGAGACTGCAGAGAGGACAGATGGAGAGAGACCCTGAGGGGACCCAGAGAGAGAGAAACAGACCCAATTGTCTCGGCTGAGCTGGCCTTCCAAAAATCCCCTGCCGAGGCGCCAGACACGAGAGTGGGCCACCTTGGATGTCCCAGCCCAGCCGTGCCCCAAGATGATTACAGTCTCAGCCAGTGTCAAGCACAGTGGAAGAATCACCCCCACTGAACCTAGTCAACCCACAAAATCATGAGAGAGAATGTCATGGTTGTTTTAATCCACTAAATTTGGGGGTAGCTTGTTCTACAACAATAAATCACAAAAAGCTTATGTTTCTTTTTTTTTATAATAATGAATCAGGCTTCCCTGAATTTATTCTTTCTGAATTCTTTGGGAAAAAAAAACCCAAAAACTTCTAAAGTAGATATACGTTAAAAAGACCCTAAACAAAACTTACTGTAGCCTTGCCTTTTCCCTTTAATTTGCTAATTTTGGCATTGTGACTTACAAAATAATTTTCATTGGTACCATGGCCAAATAAAATGTTTATTTGGTTTATAATTTTCAGAAATTATCATCTAGTAATTTTTTCCTTTCTCTTTACAAAAGGTGAGTGAACTATTCCAATACTTAAATATCCCAGTGACTTTGCTTGATCTAGGATATTGGTCATTCTTTGTGAAGAATGAAAATATTACCTAGAGGTAAAATTTATATTGTCACCAAAAATGAATTGCTAATGAAATAAAGTCCTATGATTTCCTAGAAATATTTTTTCACTTTTGGTGATTGTTCTTAAGTTCACTCTTTGCTGTATTTGGGTGCCTGGAATAGAATTTGAACTTAGATACAATAGGTAAAACAACCCCAAAACCCAAAAACCAACCCTGAATTTTTAAATCTTCTTCCTAAAATATTTGTTTGTGCATTTATTTAAATGTTTGAGCTCTTAATTAATTGCTAAATGTGTTGTCACTTTAAAACAAAGTAAGTCTATGAAATTAGGATTTAGCCTTTATTCAACTGGGCTCTCCCTCTTTTTAATACTTAAATATTTCATGACTTGTACTGGAAATAAACATTTCTCATCTTGTAGTAAAAAAGCAAAAATCTGTAAGTCAGTATCAATTTGGGGGATTTTGATTATCCCAATTTATATCACTGTTTCTGAATGCCACCTTCACATACTTAGATAATTTCTATTTATAACAATCTGGTATAAAACTGATGACAGAAACCTTTCAGAAATATTTTACTTCGTTTTATCTCTACGAAGTGAGCAAGCTAATGCGTGTTACCATAAGCTTGCCATTTTAAAGACGTTATTGAAACATTCTCTATAAATAACTCTGTAATATCTTCGAAGGGTATCTGAAATGCCTCCTTCCTTCCTGAAGGATGGCTAAAAGAGGTTAGAGTGCCCCATTTTATTGCACGTTGGCCCCATGTTTTGTTAATGATAGGAACCTCACCACTGATGTAAAAATCATCAATTGACATGAATCAAATGGCCACATAACAGTATAATCCCAGCGTTTCCCCCTGTGGTCCCAGTCACATCGCAGTAAAACCTAAATTCCTTCCCCAGTAGACGCTGCATTGAAAAGGAAATACTGTACCTCAGAGAGGCCGGGACAGGAATTGGATAGACAGGGATTGTCTCCTTATCCTGGAAGGTGCCTGTCTGTATGAAATCATTACCTGGATCCTTGTTGAGAGCACGGTCTCTATCTGATTTCTCGTGAGGAGCTTTTCATAGTTTGCCCTGATCTCATTGAGTAGCTGGGACAGCTCCATTCTTTTCCCATCCTCCACCTTGGCTAAGTGAACCTTATCGATAGGATGAGTCGCTGCGGCAGAGCTGGTCTGTCTGCGTCGAGCAGAGTCTGAGCTCCGCGGAGCCTTAAAGACGCAGAGCTCCGATTTTCAGAAGCACCATAATTCCCGTGCTTCCAATCAGTTATGCAAATAGGCAGATCCTTTTCTCCTGCTGTCCTTGGTAGAGTAGAAGCCTCAGACTCTCCATAAAAGAACAGGAAAAGGAAAACCTCCTCAGCATTCCTGAATTGGTTCTCCATAAAATTGAGCGTTTGAGGGGTGGGGGTGGGGGTGGGGGTGGGGGGTAGGGATGTCCACTTAACCTTGGGTGTAAAGAAATGGGGAATAAGGTGAAGAAAATTGTATTTTGTTTTCCCCCAAGATTCTGCATGCAATTAATGAGGGCTGAAAACATGATAGCTAAAATTTTCTTTTATAGTTTTTCTTGCCATTTGGATTATTTAAACAAAGATGTTGTGGTGGGGCATTAGAAGATGTTGTAAATCTTGAATATTTGGATAGGAATTGGGAAAAGTTACTATCAGATGAAGCTGAGAGTTGTCATTAGCCATGGGACTGACTGTATTTCTCTCAAATTCATACTGTGTGCCTTGGATTCCTGAAGGCATACCCAGAGGAAGCGGCAGTGAGAGCTGAGAGTTAGCATTTCCAATACTTTAACAAAGTTGAAGAAATACAACCAGATGGTCTGTGTTCAGGAGGTCTTCACTGGGGAAGACTCACTGTAGGGGTTACTCCTTTGTTAGTAAACGTATAGTAAATGACAACTCATAGAACATTTGCACAGCCTTCCTAACTTTAAAAAGCATCTTTATGTCTATCATTCCGTCTAAACTTCACAATCCCTGTCACTTTGTAGTCTGAAAAGGTGACAAGCCTGAGGCCGGAGGGGTTGATCGTCTTGCTCAAGGTCCTAGGGCTATGTCATGGCATCTTTGGGACTGAACAGTGACTGCCTCACTGTATCCCATATATTGCCCCATCGGCCTCTGCATTCTCTCTCTCCCCACCTAAATTCCTTGCTTACTCTGGCCAGCTGGCTATTGGAAGTGACTGAAATATTTTGGAGAATAGATCTATCATCATCGTTATTTGTAGAGTGGCTTGGCTAGAATTGTATCCAAAGAGTAGTTCAGGAAATAATCAATCCTTGGCTCTAGTGCTCACAGGACCTTTGAATGTGCATTGTGTTCTTTTAATTTCTGAATTAATTCACTGCTGGCCAGGCCAGTGCTGGGGATTCCTATAGTCCCCTGTAAACAAAGCTGGCCATCCATTGACCCTCCAGAGAGGAGAGGTTCTGGTCATTCTTGTCCTCTGTTTAACCTGACCCATGCCTCCTCCACCCTCCCCATCAGCCACAAATGATTGGTCTAGAGATGAACAGTTGATCGAAGGATAGCCAATCCATGAGGCAGAGACCTATGTGGTAGCCTGGTACAAAAGCTCTGACTAGGGGCACCTGGGTGGCTCAGTGGGTTAAAGCCTCTGCCTTCGGCCCAGGTCATGATCCCAGAATCCTGGGATCAAGCCCCATATTGGGCTTTCTGCTCCGTGGGGAGCCTGCTTCTTCCTCTCTCTCTCTCTCTCTCTCTCTCTCTGCCTGCCTCTGCCTACTTGTGATCTCTGTCTGTCAAATAAATAAATAAAATCTTTAAAAAAAAAAAAAAACTCTGACTGAAGAGGGTGACTTATGATTATCAAGACCAAACTGATCCCCTTTCTCGGTTACTGCAACAGAGAAATACGAAGAGCATCAGGCACTTGGTAGTGGGAAGAGGAACAAGAGAGTAAAGAATTACAGTCACTATGTAGCTCCTGCTCATCTCTGTGGAAAATACAGAAAGCTGAACTAGATTCCGCAGAGGGCTGGTCCTGTCAATCTGCATTTTAAGCAGGACTCCAGATATTTCCTATGTACCCTAAAGCAGTACTTTCCAATAGAAATGTAAGGTAAGCCACAAATGCAATCCGCATACTAGAATTTTAAACTTTCTAGTGGCTAAATAGAGATAAACAGAAACAAGTGAAATGAATTTTAGTATTATATTTTTCTTTAACCTGATATAGCCACGATATAATTATTTCAACTTGGAATCAAACTAAAATATTACTGAGCTATTTTACGCTCTTTATTTTTGATAGTCTCTTTGAAAGCCACGTGGTGGGGAGACAAGATGAAGAAGGCATTATAGAGGAAGCAGTTAAAAAGAAAAGTGGTCGGGGTCAGATGGTGGAAAAGCAGGTGATGAAGGTGGGGTTTTATTTGGCAAGTAACGGGAGTCATTGCTGGTTTATGGAAGGGGAAGTCCCATGGTCAGATTAATTTGGAAATAGTGCCAAAGATTTCAGAGTAGGGACACCTATGAGAGAAGCGGTATTAATGAAAAAGAAGGAAAGTTATTTTAGAACTTCAGGGTAACTGGAATCTGGAAGCTGAATCTGAATAACGCTGTGGGAATAGAGCAGAGGGGAGAGGAAATGACCTCTTAGAGCTTTAGCAAGGGGCAGCTGTTTACAAAGGAAGGGGAGCCAGGGACAGAGGTGACTCAGGTTCGCACTCTCTGCACCTAGAACCTCAGGGATCCTGTGATCAGAAACAGGGAAGACTGGAAGATAATGAGATAATTCAATCCAGACCCTTAAAGCAGCAGGATATGGTGGGAAAAGACCAATGGTTGAGTCCCTTCCTGCCAGTTACTAACAAGGTGAGCTTGGGTAAAGTTCTGATGCTTTTTGAACTCTAAGGTCCTCATCTGTGAATTGAGATTAATGATACACTTCTCATGCTACTTCTATGGCTTCTAACATTGTAGATACTGTTGTCGTCATCCTCAGTTTACAGATAAAGACACTGAAGTCCAGTCGACAGCAGAGGCAAGACTCAAGGCCAGGCAGTCTGACTCCCCAGCCTACCCTTCACAGCACAGCTGCTAACGTCTTAATAATCAGAAGTAAAACCCTGGCATAAAAAAGAGGTCTTTAAATCCTTGCTACTTAGAATGGGTGCTGGTTAGAAACGTAAGGCTCTCAGGCCACATCCCAACCTCCCAGATCAGAATCTTCGTATTATCAAGATACTTAGTTGATTTGTGTGCACCCTGAAGTTTGAGAAGTACCGTTGTAAAATCATTGGTTCTCAAACTTGCTGTGCAATGAACTCGCTTGGGGAACTTTAAGAAATACTGATGCTCCAAACTCCTGCCAGAGAGTTGGAGTTATTAGCTCAGGATGTTTTGCCTGGGAATCAGCATTTTTAAAATTTCGCGGCTGAGTCTAACAGGTGGCAAAGTTTGACAATTAGAGCTATAAGTGTTACAAATGTTTCCTTCTACTCCTTCCCCATCCTGCTTCACCCAAACGAAATGGGTCGTAAGTACAGGTGTAGTAAGACTAGTCATTAAACCAGCAATGGCTGGTTTATTCATGCTGTGACTGGTGCAGATCTGAGTCAGGTAGATTCGATATTATGCCTTGTTTATTTTTCTGTAACAAATTAATCTTTACTTTGAGCTCCCATTCCGTAGAGGATGAGTACTTGAATCTCCTCAATTGGGTTTCCTGCCTTTTCTCCAGAATGTTGCATCTAAATTTCCGGGAAGTTCGGTAGGTGGGATCAGGGCTGGTCAGGATGGTCCTTGATGTCATCCCGTCCGTCCAAGTCTGTGTTCACTAAGTCAATGACTGTTCTTTCCGTTTGTCCTGTTCACGTTGTTGGGGGAAACAATTAAAAACAATAACTCCCAACCCAGAAAACCCCTCTCAAAGGGAGAAGAGAATGAAAACACTTTTATTATTGGAGAAACATTAAATCAGAATGGGAGGCACAGTACAGGTAATCCACTGAGATTGCAAAAAACAGAAAGAAATCTCACTGTTTTGTGTACCAACCGCATACAACCCATGCATCCCCGTTCCCAAGATAAACAATAGCTAGTCCTCAAGTAGGAGGACTTGATGTAGCAGCTGCTTTTAGGCAACAGGCTTGAACAATGGAAATTAGAAAGGGCCCAAGGCAACCACCCATCACTGAGCTAAATACAGACAGGCCTATCAGACAACCCACCTCAAAAGATCCGTAGGCCCTAACCTACCAATGGGCTACTTACAACCAGGCACGGTTACCAACAAGCAGGGAAAATTTCATAGTCCCCATACCTCCTCACCTTCCCCTCTAAATACAGCTCCCACCCACTGCCTCATTGCAGAACCCCTTTCCTTTGCTGCCCTGCCTGCTGCTTCCTTGCAGTGTAGTCAATACTCCTTTGTTCTGCCTCAGGTGAATCCTGGCACTGGCCACACCCCCAGCCCCCAGCTCTTGACTGTTGGCTCACATCTGGGGGCCCCCATCCGATCAGTGGGGGAGAGACACCACACTTGACAGCACCATTAGTCACACATAATTCATCTGGTAATTTGGTGACTTTCCCTGGTTATGGGGTGACCATCTGTGTTCACTAAGAGGCTTCACATAAAGGAAAAATACACTTTATAACAGGATGTAGTTTGTAGAGAGGCTCCTACCTCCCCACGGAAACAGACAGGACTGTTTTGTTCCCAGGTCCTTGAGGAAGACCTTCCAGGTCAAGACCCTCCAGGTGGTAAATGGGTCAAATGCTTATTTCGCTTTTAAAAAGATTTACTTACATTTCAAAGAGATAGAGAAAGTATTTGCAATTATAAGGTTTCTGAAGTAAATGCTCTAAGAGAGGGGGAATTTGTGTGTCTTCCCTTATTTTCTATCTGGAGCAATAGGCCTCTCCTTTCTAATTTGCATTTGCCCTCACTGCCTCCAGCTGCCTGCCCTCTTGCAGACTCCCCTCCTGGGCGGAGAGCCTGGGAACCGTTCTGCTGTTTCCGGGTGCCAGTGGCAGGGAAATAGTGGGTAGGTTGTGGCCCCATCTGCCCAGACACACTGCTCAACCCAGCCCTATTTGGCCCTCATCCTTTTCCTGGGGCCACAATCCAAGAAGCAGTCCAGTCCCCAACTTCCTTCCCGTTTTACTGCTTTGCAGGGTCTCGGACTCAGAAGCAAGGCCTGGGGCTCTTCTCCCAGGGATCCACCTGTC